TTTTTTTTATGATCAAGCTTGTGTTCTCGTAATTATCTCTCTGAAGCCCTCTAGTTTGCCTTCATATTTTTGTTAAGGTTTTAATTTGTTTGACTTGTGATCAAAAGAAGAAACATAATTTAATATTTACAGATGCTGAATTAAGATACGAGCCAGAGTCATCACATGAAGGCATAAAATCTGCAGAGTTTCTTGTTCTAGATGGTCGACAAAGGTACGAATGTTTTTGAACAAGCAGTGACCGCAAACAGAAAGGCGATACAATAATTATAAGAAACTGAGAGGATTGGGCAAAATATGTGTTAAGGGCATGGGTAAAACAAAACAGGGAGATGATGTATGTACAAAACAAACAGTAGAGAAACATAAACATAAGATCGAAGCAAACATGTTTTGCAATACAACAAAACAACCTCAAGAAAGGCATGCCTAATTCAAGGATTTATTAAAGAGAAAACAACCAAAGTAATAAAGCGGTGTGCTGGCTGTTTTTCGATTGAACTCAGGCAATTAACAAACAGAAGCGAATTGATATATATTGGGTTTTTTCTTCCTTGTAGAAAATGTTAAATATGAGAGTAATATTCTGCTAGTAAAAAATAAGGAAAATAACATAAAGATAACCCATTAATCTAGGATACTAAATATATATATATATATATATATATATATATATATATATATATATAAAGAAGATTGACGGGATGAAAATAAACAAAAAACATTTATATAGACTGACCTTGAAGGCTTGAGGGAGAAAGAACATAAAGGCAGCAACACATCAGTGAATTGCATGACAAAAAGGGCTGGCAGTATTGATGAGGAGACAGATCTGAACAAAAGACAGGATAAAAACAGTGTTAATTCTAATCCAAAAGTCTCTAGCCATTTTTATAATAAGATGACGTTGATTGTCATAAATTTTAACTTGTTCGTAAACAAAAAGATGCTAAGGCGAGGTGGCCATCCATTGAAAAAGGTCCTGGTTCTAATTGAGTCAAATAAGAAATAAGGTTGTATTATTGAAAAACAATCCATGCTTTAATTTGTCAGAGAATAAAAAGAAATTGAGGTGAGATAGACAGCAAGTGAAAAAGAAGTCATCATCAAATGGGTTTAATTAAAACCTCTGAATCATCATAGTCTTGATTATCAGGCCTCAAGTGGCAAGGTCGTGGCTGACCCACATATTCTAGAAAAGCTAAGAGGACAAAGCATTAGGAAAAAAAACCCTTAAGCAATAGCATATGTTTGCAGGCTCTAGCAATTGAGAAGCCAAAAGGGAGAACACACATGAATAGCTGATTTATCAGTTTGAACCTCATACAACGATTCACTTCAGTAATGAATAATACTATTTAAATTGATAATCGACTCTTATACTACTTTCATTAATTCCACCATCATATTAACGCAGAAAGTAGGCCAAAAAAAGAGGGCAGAATTGATTTTTGAAACATCGAGCAACCAGATTTATAAAAGCAGCAGTTTAGTTACAGTTCGATTAAATGAAGACAAATAAGAATCTGAAAAGAAATCATACATATTGCCAACCTTTTTCTCTACAAAGAATGTTAACGATGAGAGTAATAATTTGGAAAGATCGTGTGATTGACCAGAGTGTTTGGGAGGATCTCGGAGAGCAAAAAAACATATTGAAATCAATGTTTTTTAAGAAACAATTATTCACACTGCATGTAGCTTGAAAGAAAGGTAAATAAAATAGGCATAACCATAGAATCCAGCTTTGTAAAAGGCAAAAGTATATAGAGAGAAAAAACCAGTGAGACAAGTATACCTGAAAGCTTGATCGAAAGAACAACACAATGGTGAAACCACGGTACGAAGGTCTACTACAGCAGAGTCGGCATTCCTGTTTAGGAAAAGCTCATAAATATAAAAGGATATGACAAACAAAGTTTAAGAAAGTATAAAAAAGCCAAAAAGGCCTGATGTAATTGAAACCAATGGACACATAGTAGATGAACAGTAGAGATTTGTATAGCATAAAATTGTGATAAATGAAAAGAAAAAGAAATCAGGTGTAGCAATCTGGCCCAGCAAATTATGGAGAAAGTGTAAGCAGGCATATATATATATATATATATATATAGAAAACTAAGGGATAACTGAAGAGCCAGTGAATATAGGCACTAATAAATCAGTTCCCAGCTTTTGAAGTATTGCTATTTTCTTCCTAACCAATCCACCATTCTTCAACACATTCATTAAGAAGGATAAACGTCAAATTAGTCCTCAAGTTACAACTGCAATCTGAATGAAATCATTTAAAAAAACCAATCTTAATTAATTCCTCAAAGTTTTTTTTTTAAAAATCCCAATCCAACCTTTTAACAAACTTGTCAAAAAAGAGTATGTGAACATTAAGATCCCCACAAACCAACATCATTTATTTGGACTGATGGAGCTGACCAACTTAGGCAGACATGGTCTCTTTGTACTTTTCAGATTATGGAATTTGTGGTTTGATCATTAGCTCACTGTGTTCTAATCCTTGGTATTAATAAAGCCAATCAATTAATGATAATTACAATTTCCTACTAAATCTAAAGAATTCTTTAATTGATACAATGTTCAAGCGTGACTTATCTCATCAAGCCTTCCTTAATAATTTCATTCCATAGTAAGGTCGCACTTCATTTTGTTCTCATCACTCGTGACTCTCTCTCTTTCATAGTCTTCACCTATTTCAGTTCACCACCCCATCTCCATTGACTAACTGACTGTTCATGCAAATCATCTTCTTCAATCACTCAATATTCTATCATCACATATTCCAACCACTTCACCACTTCTAGAATCCATTTCATAGTCCTAACTCTTCTCTTGTTGCTAATCGTCACTTTTTCAAAGTTCACCTTTTCCTTTCCCCTTTCAAAGCCCAATGAAAAAATATCTACGTACCATATATATATACACACATTGGCTTTGAATGTGCATAATAATGTTTGCATATATATATATTTTTGCTACTTTGCTTATCTTTTCATGTCTCGTATAATAATTAAAAAAAAACTATAATTCAACATCTTATATTTTTGTCCTACTGGTAGTTTTGTATAAATCCAACCAAACACAATTGTGACTACAAAGAGAGAGCAGCGGATGAAGAATTAAATTATAGGACAATTAAGTTTCTTTGGGACATTTCATCAAACACCTTTCTTGTGCTATTTCTTTGAATACCATAGAGTTGCCACGATTTTTAGTGAATTTAACCCAACACAACTATGAATGATGTTTCAATTCAATTCAACTCAACCAATTGGCAAAAAAAAGAAACACTATGAGGAAAATAAAGTGGAAAAGCACATCTTTTTAAAAAGAATGGCAAAGATTTCTTAGGCGGGAACAGAGGACAGAGAGAACAGCTGGTGGAACTTGAGAGCACCCATGGCTGGAAGATGAAAAAAAATCGGAATTAGATAAGAGAATGAAAGGAAAAAATTAGAAGGCAATGAAGGAATGAAAGGTAATTATAAAATACAACAATAGAAAGTGAAGAAACTGATCTGCAAACCGTGGAAATCAGAGAAGGATAAAAGGTAATTATCAATGGCTTTTCTTTAGTTTAAGGAGATAATTTAACAATATTAAAAGACAAAAAATATTCTTTTTAAAAAATTAGTTTAAGGAGTATATATATATATATATACTTTTAAAAAAAATATTCTTCTCAATAACTTTAAATAAAATAAAAAATATTTTTTTATTTTCTAATTTTTATACAAGTTTTTATATTAATTTTTGCTTTATTTTTTAAAAACAATCTTATAAAAAAATATTAAGAAATTTTAAAAAAATTAGATTGAATTTTTTATTTAAAAATCAACACATAAAAAAGAACAAATAATGTTTTTTAAAGTAAAAAATTTATCAAAAATATAAGAAAAAATAAATTAAATATAAAATTTTGATTAAAAATTATATGATTAGATAATATTTTTATTTTTATTTTTTATTCAATATATTTTAATAAACTCACTTACTATCAAACTACTAAAATGATTTTACATTTTACCAATTCACATCATAACGCAGACAGCTTTAGTTGCCTACTATAGTAATTTCATGTAAGTCTAATCTTGGTCAACTATAACATATTTAAGTCTTAAAAATGGTTTCTGTGCACGTCTAACAATTTAGTATAAGACATTGTGTCTGGCCAACCAGACACAACATCTGTGGGCCATATTTAGAAATAAAAGCTTGTTAAAGAACCACTTGTGCAACCAGATAACGACATATGGTAACCCCATCTCTTGATAAGGCACCGGAAAAGCGTCCCTAGTCCATAAGATTTCTCTTGACAAGAAAAGTGGGATTCACCGTTCACTAATAGTACAAGTGAATTCACATCATCTTGGATTTGCGATGGAGAAAGAGGACCTTGTCGTCGTTCAATTTATTGCGAATGTGCATATAGTAGTTTTTGGAAATAGAGAACCAAAGCAAGAATCATGGTTGACGCCAAGATAATTAGTAAGAAGAGCATTATAGCTGTTTGAATCAGTCGTAAGGGCTGCTTGTTTTTCACTACAAATGATGTTGAAGCTGCCAGAAACTATTATAAGTGGACAAAGAGAAGTCATGCTTAGTGAGTGGCCACAACGAATTAAGTACTGGCCAACACAGACATCAATATTTGCGTAAGGCAGTGCGAAATTCAATTGATGCCGAAAATCTCCATCCATTCCTAGGCTTTTTATCAAAAATAGTAATTCAGCGAACAAATACTAGAACACTTTCTTTTCTTTATGATTGATTAACATAGAATAAGTACACGATCTTTCACAGCATAATGTCAAAACGAATGTGTGCGGTTCATGAGAGAGCATCGACAATCATATAAAAGAAAAGATATATTTTGACTTCAGTGGAAAACTAGTTCATTTGCAGACAAACAAGCAATAGTTATACATGACTTTCGTAGGCAACGTCGAAGAAATTGATGAGAAATCAAAGGAAAAATAGAGAACTTATTGTTCATCCCTTTCGGATGGCTTCTGAACTTCTCGGAGCTGGACTGAGTTTTCAAAGCAGTGATAGAAACCGTAGTGTGGGAATCTTTCATACCATGTCTCTTGCTCTGTGTGTGTGTCCCAGTGCTCCCCGCTGCTGCTCTTCCCATACTTGTGAATCCATCCAGAACCATTGTGGCGCTCACCCCAAGTGCGATTCCACCGCTCTCCATGCTTTCCTTCCCACCATTTCTCCCCCTGCTTGACACCATGACCATTTAGATCAAAATTTTCATCCCACTTGTCACCCCACTTTGCCCAACCACCACCCTCACAGCGCTCAGCCCATTTATCAGTATATTTCGTGCTGCCTCCATGTCCGTCATACTTCTCGCCCCACCTATGACAGGCAATACATCAACAACTTTACAAGCAATAATAACACAACTGCAATTATACAGGAATCACTAGATTTGAAGATTTCAGGAAGGTAAAAAGTTCTAGAACCAATTATGACAGTCCAAATGTTATAGTATAATACGTCCTCTTCATTTCAATCAAACTGAAAAAGCAATTTCTAGAGTCCAAGAAAGAAAAGTTGTCCCTTCAAAGGCAACATCGAGATTTAAGATCTCCAAATCCTGTCACAGCTTTAACATGTTCAATTAGGATCTTCTTGGCTAAAAGTCCACGTCAAAAATGATGTTTTAGTAAAAAAATAATAATGACTAAATTAACATTGTCAAGATGTGCAGAATTTTTTTCCAATCTACACATCAGGTTTGATACCTTTCATGCCAAACATGAGCATGACCAGCCTCAAGCTCTGTGGTTGGATCAATACTGCACCACTTATGAGCCCATTTCTCTGCTTGACCAGAGGCACCATAATGTTCCCACCATTTCTCTTGCCACTCATCACCTTTTCCATTCTTCCCCCACTTGTCTGCAGTTTTTTCAAGATGCAGAAGCCCAGAATCCTGCATATATCAGATCAATATAAGAAAGAAAAGAACATTTGGTGATAGCAATTTAGAGAAACATTTCTTGTCACCTGCCGCATTGATTCCCTCCAATACTCACGCCACACATTTCCAGTTGCATCACGCCCTGATTTCTCCGAACCAAGTTCCTTGTACCCAAAATCATCAGCAGCTTCCCAGAACTTTTCTTGCCACTCAACCTCTTGGTCAGCACTAACCCCCCTGGTCATCGTCCATCTGCAAATTACACCATCAGGCCTTTGCTCGATTCCTGTCTCCCTCCACCACCTCAATCCATCTGCAGTTACTCCATGGGATGACAACTCATAAACCTTATCTGTCTCAAGAGCATGTGCTGCTTCTGCTGCATGTGCTGAAAATTGGACACCGAGTTCACGTTCTTCCTCCTTTTTAGAAGGCATTTCTAGATTGGATTCAGAGATCCCCACTCTTTCAACCTCGATTGATGACTGTGGTGGAGGAATAGGAGGACTCTGGTTGGTATCTAAAAGTTTACTCTCAAATGGAATTGAGAGAATATCCACAGATCGCTCTTTCATTGCCACTGGGATGGTCAAAGAAGTATCTGAAGATCTCTGAACTTTCTGCAAGTTGCCGGCCTTATCTGAACTCCCATCACTACTGGGAGGAGGTGTCCAGGACCAAAAATCTGGGCCAGGAACTCCATTTGCAGAAGACTCAGATCGAGACACAAGGATGCTCCTATTTTGGTTTCCTGCTGCATAAGAAAAGAGATTCAATTTTGTTTTGTTTTATTATCATTGAAGCAATGTCTACTGTACTAAATGCAGAAACTAAATTGATCTCCAAATTAGGGGGAAAAAAAAGCAGACTCACCAACAAACATAAGCAAGAAATATTTTTGATTCATGATTCCTAAGCTTATGTTCAAGCATTTTAGAGAGCTGAACAACGGCTGGCTTCAAAGTACTAAAGTTCAAATAATTTTCCAAAGTTTTTGCTGATCTAAAAACCACCGTCGCTTTGATGTCAACATCTTAGCTGCAAGTTCTAAATCACACGAAATACTTAAAAACTTTAAAATCTAATCCACTCTTCATTTGCAAACACAAAACTACCTACATCGAACTCAGTTGATAGACATAAAGCACATAATTAAATCCTTTTAATTCCCAAAATTAACTTTAATTAAACATACCAAACTTAAATAAATTAATAGAACCCCAAAATTTACCTACCTCCTTGTTGAGCTTTCTCTTGTCCTTCTATACTTTCATGACTCTTGAAATCCCCATCCCCTTCTGCAGCCCTTTTTTCCTTGACAATATCGCGAGCTGCCGCAATGGCCGCCGCTGCACGATCAATAACTTGCATACGTTGAATGCGGTCCCTCTCCTCCTTAGAAACTTCCAGAATCTTATTGAAGTCCTCACTCTTCTTCTCCAAATCAACAATACTGCTATCATTGTTATAACCATCACTGCCATTTTCATTCGGAGCTAAATTTCCAGCTACTTTTTGGAACTCGACGGCCTTCCTCTCGCGATCAACAGCCGTTTTCCACATGTCCAGGTAGGAGTTGCCGCCATCATTTGAAACCCTAATACTAATGTTTTTTGTGGTTCTTGTTCTGTTAGATAATGATGGGAATTGTGGCTTAAAGGGGGCTCTGGGGAAATGGGTGGCGCGTGGGATTGAGCGTGTATAGGTGCCGAGATTGGAAGCCATTTCAGTTGTTCGAGTAAGGTAAAGCAAAGTGGCGGTGGATTTAATTTTTTGAAGTTAGCGCGTGATTGAGCGAGGGGTGCGTAGTTTCTTTTTTTTTTATTGTTTTTTTAACTTACTTGGGAGTCTGAAGGATTTAAGGAGGAAAGGGAGGCGGGAGGTGATTTACGTGTGATTGGAGGAAAGCGGTGATGCCGTTTGTTGCTTTATGGTTGGTCCAGGTTTATCTGGTTTGATGCATTTACTATTACCTTTTTTTTTTTTTTTTTTGAACGGTTTAGAAAACATGAGAGGACAGATGATTGAAAGGAATCGATTTAGGGGATCTGCTTTTAGGAAACGTGGCAGCAGAGTAACAGATGCAAACAGGATTGAAGCTTCCAAAGGTAGATTCCATGTGGCAGGTTCTTTACTTCTCGCTTTTATTTTTCCTTTTCTTTTTCGTAAACGATTATTTGAATACGAATTTACCCTCGTTCCAAAACGCTTGAATAATTAAGAAAGCTGGGCCGTTTTGGTAGATAAAAATGGGTAAACTCGTTAGCAACCGCATGTTGGTTTGTGAAACCACGAATCATGTGAAATATTTGTTCATAAAGTTGATTGACACGTTATTTATTGATTAAAGTTTATAAAATAAAATCCTTTTTCTGTTTTGTTTTTTTTTGTTTTTTGTTAACGGAGGCATAAGGAAATACTTTATTGATACGATAGAATGTCATGAAGGGTAAAAAAATGTACAAAATTTTCTTTGAGAAGAATTTAATAGAAATCATATGCTTAAGAACGTAAAATGAAGCTTGCCTATATTTATCCCGACGAACTATTGCTGAACATCTACCAATTTTCATCTTTCTAAGTCTCATTCAACAAACCGATCGAATGAGAGAAAATTCTTGTATTTAGAAACAAAACAGATACGTAAGCAAAATATTGTGTCATTTTTTTTTTAGTTGTTATCAGAGTAGTCTTGGATTAGCTTTTACGTATTACATCCATTGTTCTTGGCCGAGCAAAATGCACACTACCCATTTATGTTCATGAAAATTTTATTTTTCATAACATAGCTTCAAGCTCGAAGATTGAATTCTCATGCCTAAAAAAGACGTACAACATTGAACCTTACCCCTAAGTTTAGCACGCAGCATTACTCTGCTGTCCACAATAAAATAAAAAATAACATAGCAGTACTAAGCCCATGCAACATATCATTTCTTTTCTTTTTCTTTTTCTTTTCTTTTTCTTTATGGTGTATCAATCAAACACGTGATCTTCATTTCATAATTAAATGCCGAGTAAAGTTTGAAATAATAATAAGAAATTGAATTCAGTTCTGGTGCTTGTGGAGATGTAAAACTGGATTGTCGAAGATTTGGAAAGTCTGCTTGCAGGATTTTGGAGCTGGAGAAATGGCCTGTTTGGACATTGAGGAGCTTGGTGGAGTCTTGTTTGAGAATATGTATCCTACCCGATTACCTGTTTGGATTTGGGGATTGAACTGAATTCGATATACAGAGACTACAGTCGACATCGGTGTTGATTGGGCCTTAGGGACCTGTTTGTGGGTCGTAATGCTTCACCTCGCTGCCACTTGATATAAACAGATAAGCATGGTCCTTGTGTGTTTCATTTTAAGATGAACAAACCAAAAATTATCAAAAAAAAATTCAGAAGGTTGTGCAACTCGACCTCTTAGCAAGCTAATTAAACCCTCAGACTTCATGAGCTTGAGAACCCTTATTTTTCCTTCACTTTCTTTGTTTTAGATCGTGGATAGAAGAGCAACGTTTTGATCTCATTCTGGTCCAGTGTGGAATTTATTATAGCCAGTAAGGCACATTTGAGAAACACTACTTCAAAGATGTTCTCAGTTGGAAGGCCATCGGGTGTAACATTGGGAATTCAGCTCAAAGCACTCTTACAAACTAAGTGCAAGTTTAAAAGGCCGCATATTCACAACAACCCGACCTTATTATATTTCTTGAGCTGTAGGCCCATCCTCCGCGATGAAAGTAATGGTCCATATACATGTTCTTGTTGAGCTGTTACAGTAGACAGTTCCAAACATGATCTGACAACTCTAGCACTGCTAGAGAGTTAAAAGATCAGTTGCATAACTAACATTAGGATTATACGGGTATTTATGCTTTTAGATATATCTTCATGGCCGGAAACGGAAAGAAAAGAAACTATAACTAATAACTAACAAAGATGTAATTTTCCAAGGACCGCCACTTACTAGAACACATACGGCCCAGGTACTGGTGGATTAACATCTGGCGTATGCGGTGGAGGCTGAATATCAGGGGGCGGGGGAGCAGGAGGTGGTATAATATCAGGGTCAGGAGGCAACTTGGGGGGCAGTCGATTCGGTGGCAGTGGCCGAGGTGTCCCTGGCGGTGGTAGTGGAACGTCAGGAGGCGTTGGAGGAGATGGTAACGGTGGAAACGGGAAGTCAGGTCCAGGATTAGGCACCTCTAGAATCCTTGGAGGTTTTATGCATCCGTCATCAGGTGGACTAGTCTCAATCTCGTTATTAGACCTTCTTGGAAATTCTGGTAAGTTCTTGCCTGTAATCTGAGGTGAGATATTAGATTGGTTATGGACTAGTAACTGAGATACAAGTGAGATAAGGTCTGGTTTGCCATAAACATGGCTCTTGATGATCTTTTTATTTGCAATTGTAGAGGAGTATAAAAGAGACGAGGAGTTTTTTGATGATTTAATTATGGTTGAGTCTGGTGCGTAAAATGGGATGGCTTTCTTCATGAGGTTAGATGAAATTGCAAAGACGGGAGTGGGCATTTTTCTCCCTAGAGCAGGGTAGCCTAGCAAAACAGAGCGTAAAATAGTACTAAACTGGAGTAGGTTTGTTGTGCAATATTATAAGAATTACAAAGTGCCTCTTCACATGTTGTACAAGAACATAAATGACACTTGTCTGTCATGCAGTAGCATTTGGATCAACGTGTGACTACCTATGGGTGAGCAAACGAGTTAAACGGTTCGGTTTTGTACGATTCGGTTTGGTTTTCGGTTAATCGAATCAAGAAAAATAAAAACCAAAACCGAACTAAAATAAATTCGGTAAATTCGGTTTGTAACCAAATTATTTCGGTTCGGTTTCAAAATATTTCGGTTTTAACCGAAATATTTTACCGAAAAAAAATTCTAGACCATTGTTTCATTAGTCGTCCTAAGCCACCATCAATTTAACCATTTACTATTAAAAAAAAAAAAAAAAGACAATAAGAAAACAAAGCCCTTACATAGGAAATATCTTTTGCAGCTACCTAATCACAGTTGACACACCGAATGTCCTAAATGAGAGAAGAAAAAAAATGTAGTTGTCTTCCTTCTTTTGCTTATTTTGAACTCATCAAGCACCGACAACATCCTAATTCTTGATTTGACCTCTATGATCTTCTTGCTTATCTTGCTAAAAAACCATTGGGAATGAACCGCAGGAAACAAAATGTTAGATCGAATTAGTCACCGTTGAAGATTATAATTTTCCAACATCAATCACTATCATAACAAGATATATAAAGCAAGGTAAAGGTTAGCAATATGTATAACATCCCTAACAATTTTACAATCATTATTCCCACCAAAAAATGTAGTCCAAAAGATTTTCATTAGCAATTTTGTGCGGTAGAAAAGAAATTAAAACAACTTTTTTCGGTTTGTAAAATTCAAGCTCACGAGACCTAAAACCATCTTGCAATAGTAAGTTAATTTCATTTGATTGTCTTGCAAAGAAACAACTCGAACTTGTAAAAGACAATTGATTGCAGTTAATCATCAACTTGCATCTACTTTATTTAATTTTTTCAGTTGATAGTTGACCAAATTAAGAATCTTAGAATTCATGAATGCCTCCTCCGACTCGATGAAGTGATGATGAAGGAGAACCGGGAAGATGGAGCAAAGGATAAGGAGCTAGGGAGGCACCGCTAAAAATTGATTTTGATTTAGTGAAGTTAGCCAATTAGGGGTTTAAAAAAAAAAAAAAAACGATTTTTTTTTTTTTGCTTTTAATTTTTTCGGTTTTTGGTGAAAATCGATTTTTTTTTCAAAAACCGAACCGAACCGAAATAATTTCGGTTTTTCGGTTCGATTTTTAATTTTATAAATTTAAGTTTAAAACCGAACCAAAATACATAATTCGGTTCGGTTTGATTCGGTTTTCGGTTAACCGAACCATTTGCTCACCCCTATGACTACCTAGGTTCGAGCACGTAAGCCGCAATTCAAGCGAGCCTCGATCTTTTTAGCCCCTCCTTTGTTGGTGCCGAAAAATAAGGGCTAGTTGGTTTTTACCATGTACTAGTATTTCGAACCTTTTTTTTTTTAATTTGAGTATTATAATTATTTTTTAACTTGTAATCATATTTGTTGATTCCATTAATTAAATTTTGAGCATGTTTTTCACACGTGATACCAACATAGCCCAATAATGAAATAACACACGGATATTTGGCCGATGATTTCCTTCTTTTTTCGAACATCTTAATCTTGTAAAATTAAAAAATACCCACCATCCCTAAATTTAAACAAAATATGTGATTTTTGAAACGAAAAGACAAGATTATTAAAATTTAAAAAAAAAAATCAATCACATTTATTAACGAGTAACAAAAAGAGTCATTAATAGAGAAAAAGAAAGACAACCATTAGAGGCATTCACATAAAGAGAAAAAGAGAGACGTTCGAATCAAAGAGAGAGAAGAGAGTGCTTAAGATCATTTTCTTGCCTCTCTATGAAATTTCTTTGGGATATGAAGTTCAATAGTGGTCTATGATGATTTGTTTCTAATTTCAAGATTAGTAATTTATAAATTGATTACTATTAAAAATGTATTTGTTTAGTGGTTGATTGCTTCAAAAGAGGTGTTTTTAATTAGTTTCTTTGTCTTTTTCTTGTCTTTGTTTTTGGCTAATTTGTTGGATAAAGGCATAGTGAAAAATTAATGTTTTAAATGTCAAGTAAAGGTCTTTGTCTTTGTCTTTGGTAAAGGGTATTTATGTGGGGTTGAAATGTTGATGAGTGACCTCAAAGTATTTAATTTTATATGGGTTTTGCATGTATGTGTGGTCCTTAATAAATGGTAATGATCCTAAATAAAGTAGCGAGTCTTTTGTTAGGGTTTTTACTAGGCTTTCATGTTGGAAGGGTTTCAAAATGGAAGTTGGATATTTCTATGAATTTAGTTTTAGATTCAATTGTTTACGTTTGTTATCTAGAAAATGGTATGATTTTTCTATCAATTTAGTTTCGAAATGTGTCTTGTTTATGGTGCTTAGGAAAATAGGGTTTTAACATGATGTTTTGGTTATTTTTTTATTGTTTGGGCTATTCGGATAATATTAAGAATTGTTTATGGTGGTAAATTCATATACCATCCAAAAAATAATTATGTAGATATTGCAAAGGTTGATCGGATTATTGACAAGAGCAATTTGACTATAGAGTATATTATAGGGACACTTGATGCAACTAGATATTTAAACATACATTAGTTATATTTCAAGTATGCCAATGAGGACATGAATACCAAGTTATAAGTTTTAAATGATAACTATAATTTGCAAAATATGTGTTTATATATGTCCGTCCATGAAAAAAATAAGTAATTTATGTATGTTGGGGATGGAATAGATGCTCTTATATTGGATTTAGATTTTTTTTTAGGATGAAAATTGTGTTATAAAAGAAGACAAGTGACGGTGACAATGATAGTGAGGTTGAAGAGGTGGTGAGAAGAAGGTTAAGGGTGATGAAGCACGGTTTAAGGGTGAGGGTAAGGATGGGGGTGAGGAAGAACAGTTTGAGACTTAGCGTGAGGGTGATCATGAATATGTTGATATGGATTTAGAATATGGTGATATTGATGAAGAAGATAAGAAATTAAGTGACTTTAAAAATAATGATAATAAGCAAGAGGATTTGTTTAACACTAAGACTCGACAAAGAGGTATATGTAAAATTTAAGGATTAGATAAGAAAATGGAGAGATAATGATGATAATGTTAATGATGGATGTGATTGAGATGATAAGAATGATACCGAACATGACGACGGTGATGATTTGAGAAGTAGATGGTTTTAACAATGTGTTTGGAGTAACAAAGCCAAGATATCCTAGCTTTAACTTTGAGACCGATTTTAGAAGTAAAATAAATCTTGTACTTGAGAGGAAGTTTAGGGACGAGTTATGCTTAGGAAAGCATAGAAAGAATATGCAATTCAAATTAAATATGACTATAAGTATAAGAAAAATAATGATTACCGTATCGGTGTAATCTATCATAAGAAATATGGCTAGAAGTTTCATGCTTCACCTTCTACCTGACGTAACTTGTTGGCAAATTAAGAGCTTTTATGACAAGCATAAATGTGGAAATAATTTTGACCTAAAAAAAATTACTACTCAATGAATTGTAAAAAATATCTATAATATATTAGGAATCAATCCAATATTGATCTACGAGGCCTTAAGAGGTAAGGGTATGAGGGAGAAGAAAGGAAAAACTTCATATTATAAGTATTTTAGGGCAATCTAGAAACCAAAGGAAATTATAAGAGGTAAGGAAAGTGAGTAGTATGCAATAGTGTGGAAATATGCTACCGATGTTAAGTAATTCAATCTTGATAACACTATGAAGGTTAATGCTTGTGATTGTGTATTTTATAAAAATGTAAATGTGTTTAATAGCTTATAGGAAAGGGTTTTTAGCTAGTTGCGGATCTTTCATTAGCATTAATGGCTAACATTTAAAAGGAATATTCAAGGATGACTTACTAGTTGTTATTGATAGAGATGTTAATGATAACGTATTTCTAATTGCATATGTAATTAAGTGTAGAGAGATAAGAACAAACTAGGAATGATTTTAGGATTTGTTATTTGAAGATATTGGATCACTTGATGAGCTTGTATGGACATTCATTTCGGATAGGCGGAAGGTAAAATTGTAATTTGTTTACATACTTAATATACATATTACCTTATATTTATATACATTGATTCTAAAGTATGATGTTGTTGTGTTCATTGCAGGGGTTAAGAGGTGATTTTTAAAGAAAACTTAGAGGTTGTGGATCATAGATTCTGTTTATGAAACCTATGGTAGAATTTCAAAAAACACTTTAACAACCAAGCTTTCAAAGATTATATATGGAATGTTGTAAAGGCATATGCAGTGAAACACTTTAAGTATCATATGAAGAAAATAAAAAAGCTGGGTAAACAAACCTATAACTACTTGATTAATATGAAGTTGGAAATATGGGTAAAGTAAGCTATAGGCTTTGATGTGAAGTTCGATTTGCTATTGAACAATATGGTGAAAGTTTCAATAGTTTTATCTTAAAGGCTAGAGATAAACCAATCGTCCTAATGATGAAAGCTATAAGGAGGATGTTGATGAAGAGATTCCATTTAAAAGTAAATGGAATGGAAAAATATAATAAAAGCATTTATCCAAGAATTTTGAAGAAGTCGAAGACAATTAGGGTGGAAGGATTGTAATGTATTGTTATTCTTAGCTTGAATAACGGTTTCAAGTGACTCATAATGATGGAAACTCAATTGTGGTTAGCTCTGGATAAGAAGACTTGTTTGTATAGGAGGTGGAACATGATTGGAATACCTTGTCTCTACCGTCATCCAATATTAGAATCTAGATGTTGATGACTTTATACAAATCTAGTACACCAAGAAGACCTTCTGCTAGCATACCAGCTTTCTTATTTTGCTTATTTCAAAGCTCGATAATTGACCGGACATTGAAGAATACACCTTTATCAAATCATTCATTGTCAAACCCTTATCCGGTAAGCCCAAAAAACAACGAAGAAGATGAAAAAGCTGAGCCCCAAGCACCCAACCTATATAAAATTAGCATAATAGGTGTAATTATGACTTGCAATAATTTCAAGGCTAGGGGGCACAACATTAGGGGTTTTTCATAGTCAAGAAACCATAATGTGAAGCTTTATAGAAAGAAGAAGCAGGATAACAACCATTCAAAACCTCCTAAGAGGAAGTAGTTGATTATTCTTCTTTAATCTAAGTGCACTTGAAACATAGTTCACATAATAATTTTCAAATGTTACTAATGAAATAGCTGACAAATACAAAAGAAAAGAGAAAGCAATTGCTATTAAAACCAAACCTATAAAGAAGAAACCGGACTTATAAAGAAGAAAACAATAAGAGTTTAATTATTTGTTTGTTTGTTGTATAAAATTTAAACTATGTCTTGTTTGTTTGTTTGTTACATATAATCTAAAAGTGTGATCGTTGCTATATTTACAATAATTATGGATATTTATTAATATGTTTGGATATTTTTAGGTGTTCACATGTGGATTGTTTTTACCGTGGTTAGTTGTTTTTGGGTATTCATATATGGAGTGTTGTTTGGCATGCCATGACTATCGATTATTGATGATCATTCCATGAGTGTTATTGTTGGTTTATGTGTTACTATTGATGTATATTTATTTGGTATGTCAATAATTTTATGATGAAATTTATTTCTAACTTTATAAGTTCTTGGTGATGCCAATTTAAATGGTGGTTTCATGAATGATGCTAGAGCTAGCCATCAAATGAGTAGTCATGATTTTTACTTGAAAGATAGTTTTAAACCACCAAAAAAATTAGCAAAATGCAACAAAAACAAAAGTCCATGGAAGCCTTGATATTCTACCCTCACTAGACAATATATAGGATAACATATAGTTAGTTTTAGGACATCAATTGAAACCCGACATTTGATTATTTAAATGACGGGACTATGTCTTCATTTTGTGTTAATAATAGTATGTCATTTACATTAATAAATGTTGGCTAAGAGTTGTAACTAGATGTGGGAACGATACATTTCATTTTTTATTTACGGAGTTAAATGATATTAGTAGTAGGATTGTAAGGATTAACTAATATACACCTTAAGTTATTTAATGAATGACGGTTTTAATTCAATTAAGTGTCTTTTACTTCAATGTTATTATTTTTTTAATTAACATATCCCTTTTGGTCTTACTAATTCAACAAAATATTATTTATAATTACACACAAACCATACAAAAATAGATAAAACAAATTTGGTAAACATGAAATACAAAACCAAGTGCTAATTTTTATTTCATACATGATCAAAATCATAGCAACAAATGCCTTTTTATTTGCTTAAAACATATAGAAGCGAAGCATATGACGGAATAAACAAAAGAATACGCAACCATGTATACCCTTTTCCCTATATGCCCTTAACACCGACTTCAATTCATTAATCAGCCCAACCATCCCTTGAACTTCTTCCTTCAGCTCTTGCATCTCCATACCCATCCTTTGAAGCTTCAAGAACTCCAACAAACTTATTGGTTCACAAAAGCCCATAAACTCACATCTTTCATAGTAAAAATATAAGTTGCTTGAGTTTTTCTTGAACTCGAAATCCTCAAAAGTGTTATGCGTCCACATTCATAATATTTGTTAGCATATTTGATGTATAAGTCATTTCATCCTACTCTGGTAGCACTAGAAGATTGAAGGGATAAGGAAGACATTCCATTAAACACTTGGTGGGTGATTACAAAGACGACTTCCAACCCAAAATGGAATAAATAGATTTCTTTTTTTATGGCTTTAAAGCAAAATAAAAAAAGAAAAAAATGTCAGTATAACACACAAAAAATAAAGTAGATATGAAGGATAGGAAATGATGAGTTTTTTTTTTGGTTTGCTAACTCGCAAATGGGAGAAAGAAAGGTGAAGTGGTTTTTCTTTGTTTATTTTAGTGGTTACACTCGTCGGGATATTTTTTATGTTTTGGAGGGAAAAAAATAAAGGGTGAGAGGGGAGAGAGAGGAAAGGAAGGAAAATAAGTCCGAAGGTAATTCGGTTAATTCATCCTTACGTGCTTTTCACATGTGCTCAAAATTTAATCAATGAGATCGACATACTTGATTATAAATAAAAAGTAGTTATAATACTCGAATTGAAAAAATTTTAGTTCGGAATATCAATCTAGGAACGCATAGTATAAGATACTTTCAAACCAATTAGCTAAAAATAAGTGTAAGGATTAACACGAGTAACTCATTTAACAAAGTTTGTAGGAGTTATTGCTTGAATTAAGTAGAATCCACATAAACTTATGAACAACATGAACTTGAGTCTAATTTTAAAATATATAGAAAATAAGCCTGAACTTTGTGTAGAGATATTTTCCAGAAAGATAAGTTTTTCTTTTTCTAGTCAGTTTTATCGTATATTTAAAAATCTGTCATTTAAGAAGGTTTTAACTTTCCTTTAAATGGGTTTTAAGCTTGCCAATCACGAATGATCCAAATTAACCCAAATCCAACAGTTGGAGATTGGAGAATTAGTTTAGGTACATGTCACAATAAATCAGTAGAAAACTGACCAAAGGGTCCAATCGCATGACATTTTTGGCAAAAGAAAACGCCATGGTACGTGGTGGTGGATTGAACCTGGACAAGTAGAAATGGGTAACATAAAAGTAATACTTAGGTCACATGTAAGCGTCGAATTCGAGTTCTATCCTTGCGAGACGACTTCACTTATATATATATATATATATATATATTAGAAAGGAATTAGAAATTTAGGATTGCAAGGATATTTTGGAAGCAAAACATAAAATTAAAAGATATAATAGAAAATTTTGAAAACTTATAGGACTACAATGTAGCATTTTTCAAACTTTAAGGGTGCCATAGCCCGTCTATAATTCCATGTAAGAAAACTCATTCTCCTAACTGTTTTTTATAATATAATACAGTTTTTTTTTCTTTTCTTAAAGATATATATAAATCAGATTTTATACATCAAAACTAAATTCTTAGATTTCCACTAGCCACATAACCCACGATTTTTTCATAGCCATGCAGAAAAACTACATTTTACGATAAACTAAATAATTTGAAACACAAACTTGCCAAGGCACTTCACAGTTGTAAACTCTTAGCATAAAAAACATAACAATCAATTATTTCTAATACATGCATGTATGATATACACATGATTATGGCCTCTTCTATATAATTCTTACCACATTAATTGTTCCAAAGATATCATGACCAATGATTCTAACAACTGAAGCATATAATGTAGGGATAATTACAAGAATTTTTTTTTACAAAAAAAAAAGTTTTTTTTTAAAAAATATTTTAAAATATTTTATATTCATTTCTTGTCAAACATCCAATAATTAACTCTCAGCTTAATAGTAGTTAATTATTGGAAGTTTAGGAAGAGAAAAACTATTTTGAATTTGAAAATTTTAAAAATATATTGTTGAATTTTTTCAGATAAAATATTTTTGAAAAAGGTTTTAAAAAAGAATTATATAATTTAAAATAAATCTCTAGTTTTTAACAATAATGATGATTTGTGTAGCGATTTAAAAAATGCAATGTGATGTTATTACTGTCATCAAAAAGTTGAAAAATAAATCAATAAATCAAATGTAACCTAACTTAAGGACTGCAAAGTCGTCGAGCCAAGAGGTGAAAAAAAAAAATTAATAAAACCTGATCAAGGAGATGCATATAAAAATTGTGTTTGCGAAATATGAAAAAAAAAACATAATACATTTTTGTTTACTACGTGCCCCTTAGTTTAGAAGTATATGATTCGGAAAAATATTTGATTGTCATCAACATTGTTTTTTAAATGTAAATGATAAAATTTTAACAATTACTACTCAATCGATATAATGTATATGATTTTAAAAAATATTTTGTATTAATGAATATTGTTAAAAATAAAATGAATTATATACTCTTTTAGGAACAAATTGCGTATTCTACGGGTATGCATGCATTCTATGGGTCTGCGACATGATCTAGGTTTGTGATTTAAAATTTTTTCAATTTTTACAAAAGTGATGCGCCATATAAAGAGAAGATTGATAAAAATATTTGAAATAATTACCAGAATAAATTTTAAAAAAATCCAATAATATATTATTAAATATTATCTTCCAAACCCAAAATAGTTTTTTTCCTACTAAAAAATTCAATTGTTAATTAGTGTTAAATTAAATAGTTTTTTTTTAACTAAAAAATTCCATAGTTAACTAGTTTAACTAATAGATATTTTAATAAAAAATATATATATTTTAGATTTGAAATGATTTAAAAGTATATTGTTGAGTCTTTTTAGTAAATTTTTTCTTTTTAAAAATAATTATGGTAGTTGTCTCTATGATCTAGCAGTATCATCTTTTTCATGCTTTTTCCCCAAATCTGTTGGTACTTTTATGAAAAGGTTTAATGCATAAACAATTAATAAGTCCAAAATATTAAACCTTATTCTTAAAAAGCAATGGATACGACAAGATGAACATGTTTGCATGCTATGTACGTTTTAATGTTTTTCTAGAATTATATATAAGATTCAAAATTCACCTATATCCAAATCGAGCTTCGTCATGCATAAAAATAAACAAATAAATTATCAAGCTTCGCCTCTTTTATGGCTATATGAATTCGAGTCTCTTGCTTAACAGTCAAACTACTATATCTTAAGGAACAGAAAAAGAAAAGAAATATATATAGTCGACCAAACAAAACAAGGCCCTAGAAGAAGTACATCATCGTGCTTTAAAATTCCCAGATGGTAAATGACCCAAAAGGGCCTATTGGTGGCAGAATATTAGGCGGTATAGATGGTGGTGGCAAAACTTCTGGCGGTGCAGGAGGCATGATATCAGGCCTCGGCAAAGGAGGTAATTTATCAGGCGGTGGCTTTCCTGGTGCTGGAAACGGAATATCAGGAGCTGATGGCGACGGCATAGGTGGGCAAGGAAACTCTGGTCCCGGGTTCGGCCCTGGCCTCAATGGAGGAGGGTCTGCCAATTCAGGTGGACTAGATTCAGACACCTCTGGTGAGATTGAAGTTTGGCCGGTTTGTAACAACTCGAGCAACTCTGGCGGGTCAAATTGGTCATGGACACGGGCTAAAAATAGTCGGGCTATAAGGTGAGATACAAGGTTTGATTTGCCATTGCCATATCTGTTGGTGGAGAGAAGAAGACATGGGGCTTCTATTTTTGGGATCCAATAAGGTGAATAAAATGGGATTGTTTTACGGAAAAGGAATGGGATGATTGGAATCACGAGGTTGGCTGAGATTGCGCAGGTACTGGGCGGCATTTTTGCTTTAGGCTAAGAAAATCTAGCAAGAGTGCTGGTGCTTATTGAATTATGTACGGATAGTTAAAAAAGTACTATAGGACAGAAAAGACAGTACCATGTAGCAAGCTTGATTGTTTGGCACGTGTAAGTACGTGGCATCAGTGTGTTCACGAGTGGCACCGTGTCATGAAATAGGGAATGATTTTTTATTTGTGAACTTTATTGGTGGAACACGTATGCTTCATCAAATTTATGGTGTAATAATAATTGTGTCGAGACTCAGTGTCAATCAGATTTCTATTTTGATTTGTTGTTCACTTTTTGTTTATATAAAAAAAAAAAAAAAATTCAGAGCAATTTTTATAGTCTATTCAGGATAAGGATTTGCACTTTAAAAGCTGGATTTTTAGTTTGCATTAAAAATCTTATAAATAATATAGTAATAATTGCGGGACCTTTTTCATTCTAGTATCCTCACAAGTCAAAGCTTTAGCTAATTTCGAAGTGGGTCTCCTTGAAGTGATCGCTCTGTTTTTTTTTTTTCTTCCTACTTTCAATTTTTCTTAATTTTTCCATTATAAATCTTAAAGAATCCTTTAGTTATCAAAAATAAAAAACCGTAAATAAAAATACAAGAATAGAATTGAAAATTAAGGAATCAAATTGATATTTTTATTCTCATACTGTATTTAGAATAGTAATAAATAATTAAAATATAATTTAAAATTTAGTTTTTTAAAAACTTTAAAAAATAATTTTATCAACTATGATGATAACTAAAATAATAAACGTTATTGCGATAGTAATGATGATAGTGGAGAAGGAGGAGGAATTAGTTATGGTAGTGTTAGTAATAGTATTAGCATATATATATATTTTTTTAAATGATGTTACCACCATAAAAAGGGACTATGGCATAATCATAGTATAATAAAAAAAATATCACTCCCACAAAATGACGACGATGGTGGTGTTAGTGATAGAAGTAGTGAAAATGATAGTGTTAATGGTGAAAGTGGTGACGGTGATAGTAGTTTATATATTATAAATAAATGATCAAATACGTTTCATGCTTTTGTATTATAACAAAAATATTATGGCAACCTTTATACGCAGATATAGTTTATAACAAATCTTATATAGTTAGACGTTGGTGTAAAATACTTTATTTGTTAACTTTTTTCGTCAAATTGACTAATATCTATTAGTTGACTAACGTTTGACCAATCAAATGGTGACATGTGTCAACTTAAGGGTAAAAATATAATTTTATTTTAAAATTAGTTTTTTTATTATTTTTTAAAAAAATTAATAATTATTAAGAAACATTAAAATTTTGAAAAGAAAAATTTTTAAATAATAAGATTTTATGAATTTATAACAATTATTATTAAATAATTTTTTGAAAAAAAATCTAAAGAAATTATTTTTTCAAAATTTAATGATTATTGATAAAGAAATTTTTAATAAATCTAAAGAAAATTTTAATGATTTTATAATAATTAATAATAATAAATCAAAAAATCTAAAGAAATATTTTTTTTCAATAAAAAAATTGAAAAAACTAATGATCAAATTTTTAGGTTTAATACACCACATGTCCATATACTTTAACGAAATTATCGTCACACTTCATGTACTTAGATATAGTTCATAACCGACATTATACTCTAGAAAATTAGTGTAAAATAACCCTTTTGTTATCTTTTTCTATTAGTTTGACTAACTTTCGTTAGTTGACCTACGAATGATCAATACAATATCGACACCTATCAATCTAGAGGTGAAAATGTAATTTTGTTTGTAATTTTTTTTCTTGACTTGGTTAGTAGTTAAAATCATTTAAAATAATTTGAAAAAACATTAAAAAAAAAATCAACTAAACTTGGTTTGGCTAACACTTTGCAATAAATATTTACAATTGTATATAACTACTAAATTTTTGGAGCAAAACTAAAATTCCCAAATCGATTAACCCTAAATTTTATTCTTCTCTTGCTGCAATTGAGCAACAATCTTGACTAATTTGTTTATTAATACAATTAATCTATTATGTTGGATTTTTCTTCTTTCCCATTGTCTTAAACTTCTTCCTCATCTTCTTTTTCTTCCTTAACAACATCATGCAAAGCAAAATATAAAAAAATTATGCTTTTTTGTTCATCAAAAACCCTATGGGATTATGGGTGTCGAAAAATAAGGTGTTATTGTGGTTTGAAGACACCAAGATGGATATCATTGATCGAAAATCCAAGTTTGTGATTTCTGTTTGTCCGAAAGAAAAAAAAATTGATGTGGTTTTTATGAGTTTATTGATCCTAAAATTAGAGAAATAAAAAAAGCTAGAGATGTCGGTAGTGGGTTAAATATATGTGAAAGGGAATTGCATGTTACTAATTAAAGATTGAGAGATGAGTTGAAGAAAGAAGAAAAAGTGTATGAGTTATTATCTCGCTGAACATGATTTTACGAAGTTGAGCTATGAGAAAGAAAAGGAAAAACTAGTTAACAAATTTTCCAGCCTTGAAAACAAGATCCTTGTGGTTACATGTCGGATCATATATCCTAACTCTTTCTTCTTTTTTCTTTCTCTTATAAGAAAATATATCATCTTCATCACTTCTAAGATCTACTCATTCCTACTACTCGCTATCATATGCACTAACGTACTCTTTTCATTAGGTTAAAGTATATTGTATTCGGATGGATCAAAATTTTTCCTAAGATGGTTGGTCCCGCCAACTCATCATTGAACCGAAGTCTAGAGCCACACTTTCTCCTCATACTCTTCATTTGCTTTTTAGTTTTAATTAATTCTTCATCAATAAAACTTTCGAATCAGCATCACTTAAACTATTATCACTTTATGGTTCCTTAATTGGTACGTAGTCTTCGCCATCACTACTTGTATCACCACCTACATTATCACCTAAAGCTTCAACACCTAAATCATCACCACCTATATTATCACTCAAAGCATCACCACCTACATTATCTTCCAAAGCATCATCACCAACTTTTTCTTGAGTTAAGACTCTATTTCCTTTATCTACACCTTGAGTTAAATGGACTATATTAACCACATCCTTCGACATCCTCATCTACTTCTATAAAAATATCCGTAGACCCTTCTTCACATGCAACACCTAACATGTTCATAAACATCATACCTTCATCTATAATTAAACCTTCCTCACTTAAATTTAAACCCGGTTATTTAAACAACCATAGCCATATGTGTCTTATATCTAGATTCAATAACAACATTGTATAGATCTTTTAAATTCATAAAATTATGGTTTTTTAACCACTCAATTGATACAAACCTAACCTTTCCAACCTAATAAATGGGACTCAATTATTAAAAACCCCACCAACATGAAAATTAATCTTGAAACGATTTATCATCCTGTGGATAGAAACATCAACTAAAAGACAAACATATTTGGGTTTGGATTATGTAATTTAAGGGATTGTGATTTGAAATTTTATTGGAAGATTTTGAGTGGTAGAAGGTACAAGAGTAAGTGTTTTGATAGAAAGGGTTTTGGGTATTTTCTTAATTCATCTTATAGAGTTTGGTATTTTGCATTTAGAGCATTAGGGATAGAGAAGGGTTTGGATTTTCAATTACGTAACTATAGCAATTGCTTCGTAACAAAATAAGAAAATGTGGTTGGAGGGCCTGTGGGTTTGGAAGATAAGAAGGAAGAAGAAGATGATAGAGGAAAAAATGAGGATCTATGAGTTTGATTTTGTGAAGAAAGAATGAGAAGATGAAAGAGGAAAAAGGGAGGATCTCCGGGTTTGATTCTATAGAAGATGAAGGTAGACGAAGGAGAAGAAGAAGGATATTTGAAAGAACGAGCTAGTGGGAAAATTAAAAGAAAGAGCTAATGGAGGTGCTTGTGCAAAATTAAAATGAAGAACAAAGTTATAAAGTTAATTTGAATTGGGGATTTTCTTATAATTAAGGTATATAGGGGATGACATGTCTTTTAAGCTTTATAATTGATTTTTCACATCACCACTTATATGGATCCTATGTTGCATTTAAAGTCTAGCTATCATGCTTCGCCATCCGTCATGTCGACTTTACCTAAAATTTTGGTCAAAAAATTAAATTTGTGCTAGTATTGTTATCGGAGTTTTATTTGGTGATCTTTTATCGAAAGTTAAAAGAATGAGCTAAAATCATTAAAAAAAATATAAAGCTCATGATTTTCTATAATATTAAGCCAAATACAAATGATGAAAAAATGGCACATTCTATGAAAGATCCAAATGTTGAGGGAATTTTAAAAGTTAATTAGATACTATCACATGTAAGAGACTATGGCAAGATTAGTGGCCTATCGATAGCTTTGCTTAAAAAATATGCATTCAAATGGGAGGATGAAGCAACTCGAGCTTTTCAAAAGTTTAAACAAGCCATGTCTACCACACCAATCCTTGTATTGCCCAACTTTATCAAGTTATTTTTTTTATCAAATCAAATGCCTTAGAGTTGGCATTGCTACATTATTAATACAAGAAATTCATCCCTTGTTTTAATCGACGAAGGCTCTATCTCAATCTTATTTTAGAATGATTGTTTATAAGAATGAGATCGTGGTTATTATCTATGTAATTACTAAATGAAAGCAATACTTAATTGGTCGGTAGTTCTAACCTATACTAATTACAAAAGTTTGAAAATTTATTAAAGCAATAAATTTCTTCTATGGAGTAACAAAAATTGGTTACTAAGCTACTTGGCTATGACTATGAGATTTTCTATAAAAGAGAGTCAAAAACTTGGTGGCATATGCACTCTTACAACTTCTTAAACATAATGAATTATGGCTATATCTATCCTAGCTTGTAATACATTAGAGAAAATCATAAAGAAATGGTGGAAAGATCCGGAGGTTTGAAGCATTATTGAGAGATTTCAAGAAGAACCAACTTTAATCCCTCCCTACTATTGGGATTTGTTAAAGTTACTATACAAAGAAAGATTGTTGTGGTTCTTACATTCACCCATAAACAAAC